TATACAATTACAATTAAGACCATTGAATATTCACTGTACTGAAATATACAAACGTTTAGATAATGTTACGTCTCCGTTCGTTAGTTAATCTTCCGTTAAAACTCTTACCGAAGAAACTTTACCGATACAAGTCCTTTCTTAAATAAAAGTGGTTTATTCTTTCCGAATACAACTTTACGATACACTTAATTTCAACAGTCGCTCTATAACAAACGCTATAACTCACAACGAACGTCTCATGTGCTCAACAATATTCTTACTCATTACCCCCAGTTGCTTCTTGGCCGGTCTTATATATATACAAGACTGCCCCAATCTAGTAGTCTCCCGACATTTCATGAAGGTTTGAGAAGGAAGTGGCATGATACGAGCGTCACGTGACCTGCGTTGTCGTAACAATAACAACAAATGAGGATATTCGTTTAACCTGATAAATGAGCATTGTAAAAAGAAGAACAAAAGCAAGATTTTAATTTGAACTAATTTTTAGAGAAAAATCTGGATATGCCCTCTTGAATGATTTTTTTTTTTTTAGTTTTGGTTGTTGTTCTATAGTTCTTTGCAGCTAGGCATATTTCATTCCTGGTCGATAGATGACTTAGAAAAAAAAGAAATGAAAAAAGAAGTTTCTTTTGAACCTTAAACTTGTAATTCGTATTGTTACGACACGGAAGTCACGTGACGCTGGTAACACGTCATGAGCTTCTAGAACGTTCGTGTCCCTTCGTGAAGCCTCGAGGGTTTACTAGATATGCGGTATTCTTGTATATAAGACCGTCAAGAACTGACGGCAACAATGGAATGTAGTTAAATTGCAGACAGAGATAGAGACGGACAGTTGGGTCGAGCGTGAATTATAGCGTTTGTTATAGCGTGACCGTGGAAATTAAGTGTATTGCAAAGTTGTATTGAGAAAGAATAAACTAGTTTTAATTAAGAAAGAACTTGTATCGCTAAGGTTTCTTCGGAAATAATTTTTACGAAAAATTAACTAACGACAGAGATGTAGCAGTATAAAACTATCAACTAGGTATAAAGTACCTCTCGCGAAAACTCACATTTGTGATAAAAAGTGGAATTTTACGAATAATAATTAAAAGATGAAAATTATGTATGAATCAATAATTGTTGCAACAAACTGTGCTAGAGAACAACTGTTGACATAATTAAAATTATATAAATCAGTTTGAGTTTTGTTTACATACACCTATGTGTAACTTACGAGAAAGTGCTAAACTTCAGAATTAAGTAAATGGAAAATTTGCTTTGAAAGATACCCGATGTATCAAAGAACGATGTATGTAAAAAATTAAGTTAAATTTCACGGTAAACTAAAAAAAATATTCCATTGTTTCAAATTTGAAATAGGGATATGGTTCGATGTAAATCGACAATTTCGGCTGCGTAAATGCATACATCAAATCCATACGGAACAGTACGTTTTGGATGGCCAGAAAAGAAATAGATGTTATAGAAATTAATCAAGTATCATTAGTTGAAAATATAGCAATAACTGTTTGACGGAGCTCTGAGCAATTAATTGGCTATGGGTGTTTGATATATTTTCACCACATTTGTTTCAGCACGTTGCTATTTTTTAATAATTGAATTACATTTAATAATATATCTTGGACTAATAGTAATAAGTATTCTTCATACTTACCGTAAGAAAACATATTTAATGAATAATGAGTAAAATTGCGCTTACTACAACTAGTTGAATTTTGTTTCTGTATTATTCTACACACACACACACACATATATATATATATATATATAATCCACCACTGGCTTGAGACAGCCGATATCTTCACCTTACTCTTACTATTAGGCTTATCGTATTAGACCGTAAGAACCACAATTTCTCAAAACAGCAGCTTTTCTTTATTTCTTTCACTCCAGATATAGGCTTATTTTAAAGTCTATGCAAATTTATAACGCCTGAAGTGTTCTACTCACAAGCTCTTATATTTATAATAAAACTTAAGTTAAAGAGAAGTTGAGAGAGATTTTAGTTTATGCCTATTAATATTATATTGGTATGGAAGTTGTAGTAATATAACTTGTATAGGGTATAGTTAGTAAGGCTATATTTAATAATAATTTATCTATGTAATTAATTAAACTGTACTTTTACTCTGCAGGCTATTGCAAGTCAACCAAAATTCACAAGGACCAAGCTCTATAGAGTTATGTTAAATAAATCCAGCCTGTAATGCATTTTTTTTCTCGCTTCATGTTATGAAATTTTGTGGGAAATACCTAATTATTAATGTTAATTCGTAGGCCTATTTAGGGCATCTTAGGTTAAGCCTAAGTACCGTGTAATTACTTGAAATTAAGTGAGTTAAACTTCAATAAAAGATAATTAAAATAAAAAGCATCAACACTAAGATGGTTATTCTAAAGAGTCACTTTGATGAGAGGAACCACATTTGGTGGAATTAAACTTCTGACTGTGAATCTAAGGCGCTTAGCTTATTTATATAGGTTTGTAATGCCAGTCCAGTAGGCCTAACAGTAGGCCTAATGTTCGCTTCAGTTCAAATGCCTAGCAATGTTATTAGCATTTATTGATTTAAATGAAAACATATTGTACTAAATTAACAAATTAGTATGAACCATAGCATGGTCAATAATATAATACTGCACAAATCTACAACATGTCGACTTTCATAGACCAATATCAATTTTTATTTGTAACATATGATACAGTAAAATGTTAAAAACTCCACCTATCTCATATGTGTGTACTATGATTTGTTATTAAAAATCAATTATAAGAAAAGTGGAGGGCTATTCTGAAAAATGCTGTATAGTAATTTAAAATTTCAATAGACAATAAACACAGTTGAAACATTTATGGAATCCAGAAATAAACATGCACAACGTAAATTTTCAGTTTTTAAAAATTAAATTAGAATATACTATATTATATATGCTTCAGCAGAAAAGAAGCGATCAGATACATTGCAGCATGTGAAGTAACATTAAAAAGCCATATGGTAACAAGCATATATATAATTCCTTAAAAAAAAACTTGATCTGAGAAGACTTTATCAAGAAGTTGCCTTTGTACAAATGGTAAATATTGAGGTTTGAAAAGAGATCAATTAGAAACAATGGTGTCAGCTTCTCGTTAAGAACGAACTTTGTTGTTGTTATTGCATTCATGTGAGAACTTTCTGATGATCTTGAGAAATATCTTGGCCTCTCTTTAGTTTTATAAAGTTTCATACTGACAATTTCTGGCTCTAACTTGCTTTTAAAAGCAGTGTTTAATCAATCAGAGATACCTTACTAAGTTCCAACATATTTTCTTAAAACATTTTATACTTAGTCCTACAAGATGATTATAAAAAAAGATTCATAGTACAGTGTGTTATGTCTCAAAAACTGTATGACGTAGGAAGGTGAATAGGGATATTAAATATACTGTGTGGATTAAAATGTCACACATTGCCCCTTCTGTGGTTTCTTTCACATTATATCTCATCGGTATAAACTAACCTGTCAATCACAGTGCAGCTTATTCAGCCAATGTGACGATGACAAGTGTGCAGAGAAGTAGCTAGTGAAATGTTATCACACCAAAGGAGGCAATACTGAGAAATCTCTTACTAGTGTTATAGAGTACCTAATTTTCACAGCTGGCCTTTTTCAAGTTCATAAAAGTATTTGACGAGATAGATTGCTTTTATAATAAGTCATATATACAGACAGACCATCAGTATGTACTGAAACTGTCACTTAGATCAGTCTTGCTGGAACAGCACAAGGCCACACGAGTGCAGCTGTACTCACAATGTTGTTTGGTGTTTGGATTTTTTAATATCAACTGTTTGTAAGGCTTTTTAGTCAACTTTGTGAATGTTTCCTTACAAGGTGCATCACATTCATGCACAGAAAGAGACAGTTTTAACCCAATGTGTTGATTGTACATTACAGTTATGAGGTACACATAAGAATGCTAGCATCTTATTCAGGAGCATTGTGAGTCATTCATGAGTTAATACATAAGGACACTAGTGAACTATTCATGAGCACCGTGTGTCACTGATGAGTTATAAAGAACACTAGCATAACTCATGAATGACCACAATGCTCCTGAATAAAACAGTGCTCATGAATAGTTCACTAGTGTCCTTATGTATTGTGTCACTGATGAGTTTTAAAGAACACTAGCATCTTATTCAGGAGCATTGTGAGTCAATCATGAGTTAATACATAAGGATGCTAGTGAACTATTCATGAGCACTGTGTGTCACTGATTAATTATAATGAACACTAGCATTTTATTCAGGAGCATTGTGAGTCATTCATGAGTTAATACATGAGGACACTAGTGAACTATTCATGAGCACTGTGTGTCACTGATTAATTATAATGAACACTAGCATTTTATTCAGGAGCATTGTGAGTCATTCATGAGTTAATACATGAGGACACTAGTGAACTATTCATGAGCACTGTGTGTCACTGATGAGTCAATACATCAATGTTGAACAACAGGTAACTAAAATGTGATACTTTAGTAACTGCTAAGGTTGAACAACATTTAAGTATCTCACCATTACTTTTGAACAAAGCCTGAGTAAATCAAGTGTATAACTGGTGCAGACTGTGATTCAGTATAGATGTCTTAAAGAACCTTTTGTGGACACACTCCTGTCGTACAAGACAATGTAGCATACAGTTTACTTTGGTTTATACAGCCATCTCTTGTATAAGGCATGAAACAATGCAGTGTTCAGTACTGTTCCTTTAAATAATCCTTTGTGATATAGTTTTCTCTAGGATGAAAAAACTTAGCAGTGGATACTGTTGTTTAAAAAAAACTATGACCATCTCCTGTAAGGGATCTGGTTCGAACGTTGCAATGTTGTGTTCTGTTGTCTAAAAAATTATATATGGATATCTCTGTATGGAAGATGGAATAATGCACTTTTTATATCATCAATTTTATACTACATATAGCTACTTTCTATTCCAGCGGAAGAATGGACAGTTCTCGAGCAGACTTTGTGGACTACGATGTTATAGCAGGTTTGAATCGATTTAAAATGTTGATAGATTTTACTTATCTAAATAAGACAACAGTGTGAATAAATTTCACATATTTTTCAAAACTTATATATATAGATATATATATGTTAAGACTCAATGTTATATATATACACACACATGCAATAAAACACATATGTACCTATTTAGCTTTCAAAATATAAAATACAAATTAATATTTTGGGCATATTGTTCAGCACAACTGGTTTTTATGGAATGTAGGATGTTTTTGGAATTTTTTTCTCTTTTAGCATTTTTTCCACAGAAAAAGAAAATGAAGACAAGCCCTTGGCAGAAAGTTTGTAAATTATTTATAGATATGTCTGAAGACAAAAAGACATCAGAGCAAGAATCATTTGATCTATCATTTACAGGAAAATCTGCATGGAAAACCATGAAGAATGGTAAAATGTTTTTCTTGAAGCTATTTAATTCCTCCTGACATCATATATGGTATTGACAAGTACAGGCCTTCAAACTTGTACTGTTTTATAGAATTTGTATGAAATCCCCAAAACTTGTTCCTTTCATTTTCAAAATTTCTATGTATTTGAGGCTGGGTAAGAATTTATTTATACTGTAAGTCAGAATTATTTTGAATTTTTTATATATGTAACTACCTGAATTAATTTTTCTCTTCACCAGGTAAAGCACAACACAGAGGAAATGTTCTTATATTTGCTAATATGCATTGATGCATTTTCATAATTTGATCTTAAAATATTGCATAATGTATCTGTCTGGAGCTAAAGTCTGAAGATGGAAAGCTTTCAAAATCTGTCCCTTTCTACATGTGCTACTTTTGTAGATTAGTCCTCCAAGTCTGAAGATGGAAGCTTTCAAAATCTCTTCCTTTCTACATGTGCTACTTTGTAGATTAGTCCTCCAAGTCTGAAGATGGCCATCTTCAGACTTGGAGGACTAATCTACAAAAGTAGCACATGTAGAAAGGAAGAGATTTTGAAAGCTTAAGCTTTCAAAATATTTTCCTTTCTACATGTGTTACTTTTGTAGATTAGTCCTCCAAGTCTGAAGATGGAAGCTTTCAAAATCTCTTCCTTTCTACATGTGCTACTTTTGTAGATTAGTCCTCCAAGACATTCACTACAAGTCTCATCTTTGTTCATGATGATTATATTTATTATTCCTGTATTTGCCTGTAATGTCCCTTTAATATACTTTGGATAATTTAATAGAAGCTTCTGTTTTTCTATCTCCTGAGTTTACTGAAGAGACTTTTTGTTCACAAGGCAAGTGCTCTAAAGGGTTAGCCTACTAGCTATCACTAGTATGAAATTTTGTGAACAACTTGAACTTAAACAAGTACATTTGAAGGCTTACAAATAAGTATTATGTAGGAAATGTAGTTGTTTTTTGTGTTATTTTCATTGTTATTTGTGATTGTCATTTGTCAGGGTTATTTGTCACTGGCATTTGTCACTGTTATTTTTATTGTTATTTGTGACTGTCATTTATCAGTGTTATTTTCATTGTTATTTGTGATTGTCATTTGTCACTGTTATTTTTATTTTTCTCAGAGTTGACATCTAAAAATTTGATGAACATTTTTCAAATTAACCAAGAAGATCAAAATTTAGAAGATCGTTTACACTCTGCAGATTCTGTGCTTTCTGTTACTCAAATTAACATTCACCAGTTTCCAGCTACATTTATCCCAGACTTGATCCTGGAAAAGATACAGAACAATGAACTAAATAACATACCATTGGCTGAGGAATTTAACGGGATAGTTATGTTTGCCGACATATCAGGTGAAACATTTAATGTTTGATACAGAGACAGGAGTGATTGTATTTAATTTCAAAGTAGAGAAATATGTTATATGTGTTATTATGGTATAGATAAAATACTTGGTAGATAGTAAGTGACCATCCTGTGTATATGGGTTCTAGGACGGTTCGCTACTGGTCTTTTCGTTAATAGGGTATTTCGCTACCTGTTTCAGCTACATATAAATAACTCATTATGGCTCAACAACTATTTGAGGAAAGCCTGAATCATTTTTAAAAAGATCAGATCTTTTATTTTGAATAAAATGTTTTACAACATAAGAGCCTTTTTTTTATTTTAAAGGAGTATTTCTCTAATGAACTAATATTGAAGAAATATTTACTAATATATTACTGACTGGAGTGTTTCTCTAATGAACTAATACTGATGAAATATTTTTATTTTATGATCTTAAATAAGATATGTAAGGGAGATTATGATCTAAAATTATCAGGTAGTGAAATAACCTGGTAGCGAAAAACCCTAGTAATGAAAAGACCAGTAGCGAAATGTTCAGTAGCAAACTGTCTGGTCACCATGTATATGATCATATGTCATAAGGTTGTTGCACTTATTGGGATATTCTCACTCAGTGGCTCAGTAATAAGCTTAAAGCACTAAAATTCAGAGTTAAAACCCTGCAGTGGACACAGCATTAATAGCCTAATGTGTAGCTTTGAGGTAAAACAAACCTGTAGAAATTATTAAATTGAATGGAATTATTAAACAAGTTAGCTGTTAAAGGAAAATCCCATTTGGGGAAACATAGTAGTTTAGATCTGTGATATTTGGATAAATGGTAGCTTATTATAAAATTTGGGATGAATAACAGTTTAGATGTGAGACATTAGTTTGATTGATAGCTTGGATGTAGGACAAACTGAGCACCCAATCTACTTCTGACTGAAAATTATTAAGATGTTTCCACATGAAATAGGATTCAATCTTATAGACTTTGTATACTTACCACTCTAAGCTAGTATAATTTGTTTGTCTTTCATGTATGGTTATCATGTTATATGATGGAGTTTTTGTATAGAAGCTGTTCTTATATCTTGAATATATATATAAATATTTGTACATAGCACTTGAAAGATAAAAATGTAGATTGAAGACAAAAGTTACCCATTACTAATTATAGTTCTTTATAAAAATGTATTCTGTAAATTAGTGAAATTTTTCATTAATTAATACACCTAATTAGTTTTGAAACTTTTCAAGCTTTTAAAATTTGTGAGAAAGAGATATGGATGAATTTTTATACAATCTATAGTTTTGTGCTTCTGAACTGTTCAAAATGTATGACTTCCACTTTTACTTAACAATAAAAATGAAATACTGACTTCTCTACTGATATACAGTAAAGTGGAAAGTTGTAGAAAAATATTAGAGTACTGTTATCCTTGGTATATTGGATGACTTATTTTCCCAATTATTTAAAAGTTGATTCTAAAACAGTTCAAAGATTGTATAGAATTGTTTCTAAACATATTTTCATGAACATGGTGAATGTACGTATTGTTACGTATCTGCTTGTTTGTTAATTTCTGGAACTTGAGTGATACAAGTCCCTTCTTGATTAAACCAGTTTATTCTTTCTTGATACAACTTTTAATACACAATAATTTCACAGTCAGTACATTTAATACACACTATAAATCACAGTGATTCACAACCTCGATAACTTTGCTCTATGCAAGTGCAAAACCCACACAATTTATGGTTCATGTATCATTCCAGTAAAAGTCTAAGTGAATGAACACATATATAATCTTGGAAACAGTAAAAGTCTAGTTGAATGATACATGTATAACCTTGGAAGCAGTAAAAGTCTAAGTGAATGAACACATATATAACCTTGGAAACAGTAAAAGTCTAGTTGAATGACACATATATAATCTTGGAAACAGTAAAAGTCTAGTTGAATGACACATATTTAACCTTGGAAACAGTAAACATCTAGTTGAATGACACATATATAACCTTGGAAACAGTAAAAGTCTAGTTGAATGATACATGTATACCTTGGAAACAGTAAATGTCCAGTTGAATGACACATATATAACCTTGGAAACTGTAAAAGTCTGGCTGAATGACACATATATAACCTTGAAAACAGTAAAAGTCTGGCTGAATGACACATGTATAACCTTGGAAACAGTAAAAGTCTGGCTGAATGACACATATATATAACCTTGAACACAGTAAAAGTCTGGCTGAATGATACATGTATAACCTTGGAAAGGAAGCAGTAAAAGTCTAAGTGAATTAACACATATATAACCTTAAAAACAGTAAAAGTCTGGCTGAATGACACATATATAAAAGTTATACATGTATCATTCAGCCAGACTTTTACTGTGTTCAAGGTTATATATGTGTCATTCAGCCAGACGTTTACTGTTTCCAAGGTTATATATGTGTCATTCAACTAGACTTTTACTGTTTCCAAGGTTATATATGTGTCATTCAACTGGACGTTTACAGTTTCCAAGGTTATATATGTGTCATTTAACTGGACATTTACTGTTTCCAAGGTTATATATGTGTCATTCAGCCAGACTTTTACTGTGTTCAAGGTTATATATATGTGTCATTCAGCCAGACTTTTACTGTTTCCAAGGTTATAGATTATCACTCAAATTTCATATGTTAGCCTTAACTGTGCATGTTCTTGTGATTGCAAGTGTGCAAAAGGGGGAAGTCTTAAATAAACACAGTTTGGTCTAAGCTCATGTACAGCTTCTGAACAAAAGCAAGTTTACCTAATCAGCTTGAAACTCTTTGTTTAGAAAAATATTTGTAACACAATTATGATCATTCCATAAAACTATAATAAAATATACCATAATAAGGTCTAAATCTATGTAGGCAGTCAGATGTAAAGGTATATAAATTGAAGTTAGTAACTAACGTTTTCTTCAAATAACTCCAGTCATTAGAAATGAAATATGATTTACAGGTTTTACCTCTCTTACTGAAATATATTCCAACAGTAGTCGGGGAATCGATGAATTAACAAGAACTTTAAATGATTACATAGGAGCTGTTGTGGCACGTGAGTATTTCTAAATTTTGTTTAAGTAAATTACTTGCTGTTTGTATGTACAAAACAAATTGGTATACTACTGGTTACCACAGTTGAATCTAAAGCTTTAAATAATTTTCTTTACATCAAATGTCCACACACGCTGGTTCATTTACTTTAGAACCCAACTGACAAAACAAATTGTTTCTTCTCTTGTATGTTATCACAATACAGTCAGTGATAAATTCACCTATATTATCCCGTGTGTTACCACAGTTGTATCCAGAGCTTTAAATAATTCTCTTTACATCAAAAGTCCAGACAGACCGATTCAGTTACTTTAGAACCCAATTTATAAAACGAATTATTCTTCTCTATCTCTGTGTTAGAATACAAGCTGTGATAAATTCACTTCAAAATCACCACAATAACTGTTTGTTACCACAATTGTATCCAGAGCTTTAAATAATTGTCTCCTTTTCATCAAAGTCCACACAGGCTGCTTCAGTTACTTTAGAATACCCTTTGACAAGACAAATTATTATCTACTATATCTGTTATTACAATACAAACTATGATATTTTCACTTTAGAATTTGCCTGTTATGGCTAAATTGACAATCATGCAGTCTAATAACTTCACTAACTTCTTCCTCTTGCACTCTGTATCTGCACGTATTTATAACATGCAACAAAAAAATCTAGAAATACCTAGCCCTCTAATAACAACAATATTAAACATGACAAGAAAGACTTAAAAGCTTTGAGTAAAATGACTTGAACAATATTACAAAAGTTTAGTAGAATAATTAAACTACATACACAATGTGTGACTTATACAGAGTTATATAACAAAACTTGTCATAACTATTGCTTTTAAGATAATTAACTTTTAACACTCTTGTTATGAAAAATAAATAATAATAATTAAGTATTAAATCCCTAAATAACAACTCTTAAACTGAACAGTCTTGTATATTATAACAGCTTGTCTTGCATAGTTGTGTTTGAAACCCTATGCAATTCAAACTTAGTAGCTCCTGTATTTGTAAGTCTCACTTTTGTACTCTTCTATGATCTTCAAAGTCACTGTGCTACCCAAGCTTTATCACTTTATTTCAATTGCACACTGTTCTATGTTCATTAAAGTCACTGTGCTACCCAAGCTTTATCACTGTATTTCAATTACACACTGTTCTATGTTCATTAAAGTCACTGTGTTACCCAAGCTTTATCACTTTATTTCAATTACACACTGTTCTATCATCTTCAAAGTCACTGTGCTACCCAAGCTTTATCACTTTATTTCAATTACACACTGTTCTATCATCTTCAAAGTCACTGTGCTACCCAAGCTTTATCACTTTATTTCAATTACACACTGTTCTATGTTCATTAAAGTCACTGTGCCTACCCAAGCTTTATCACTGTATTTCAGTTACACACTGTTCTATGTTCATTAAAGTCATTTTACCACCCCAGTTTTGTCACTGTTTTTCACTCACACTCTATTCTATCTTCATTAAAGTCACTGTACCACCCAAGTTTTGTCACTGTATTTCAATTGCACACTGTTCTATGTTCATTAAAGTCACTGTGTTACCCAAGCTTTATCACTGTATTTCAATTACACACTGTTCTATGTTCATTAAAGTCACTGTGTTACCCAAGCTTTATCACTGTATTTCAATTACACACTGTTCCATGTTCATTAAAATCACTGTATTTCAATTGCACACTGTTTTATGTTCATTAAAGTCACTGTACCACCCCAGTTTTGTCACTGTATTTCAATTACACACTGTTCTATGTTCATTAAAGTCACTGTGTTACCCAAGCTTTATCACTGTTTTTCACTCACACTCTATTCTATCTTCATTATAGTCACTGTGCCACTTCTGGTTTATCACTGTTTTTCACTTACATACTCTTCTGTGTTCTTCAAAGTCACTTTACCACCCCAGTTTTGTCACTGTTTTTCACGCACACTCTATTCTATCTTCATTAAAGTCACTGTTCAATCCCATGTTTTTCAGTTTAAAAAAAATGATTTCATATAACCAAGACCAATATAGGATTTATTGCTCACCAGATCAATAAAACTTCAACAACTCAAAGTTCAAGGTTATGTATGTAAATATTGAAATCATTTATTTTTGGTATTTACATTATGTAACAAGTTCACTTAATGTTTCTTAGAGTTCTAGTCAGATGAGAAATTTGTCTTAGTGTTACTCTTGATAACCATATATGGGATAATTACTATGTCGAGTGGTACTTATGTTGTAGCTAACTTCATCCTGAGCATTCGTCTGTTTTGTGGGTGTCACATGGATAGGAAATATATCAAGAATTTCTTAAGATTTTTTCACTTGATTGATCAAGAGCATGTGACTGTTAGTAAGTTGCTGCTTCAGAGCCTATATTTCTTTTTCAACTGTTTTTAAAGGGTAAAGACGTACCCTGAAGTCTTTGCCAGAATTAGTACTCTAGTTGCTGACCATGTGTTCTCTGGTAATCATTCAGTATCGTGAATAGCTTAATTTATTTTAGTATTTAATATTTTTGCAACATTTATTTTTATTTATTTTTTAATTTTCAATCAGCTTAATTCGTTTAACATTAATCCCCATCCCACTGGATGCCTGGCCGTTGTTTTACTGAATTTTTTAATCATAAAATGTTTGTCTAACATTCATCTGGTGAAAACCACTCTCTTTCTATAGGTTAGGTCTATGAGCCTATCCTTATCCTTCTATACATTAGGCCCTTGAGCCTATCCTTATCTTTCTATAGGTTAGGTCCATGAGCAATCCTTATCCTTCTATAGGTTAGGTCCATGAGCTTATCCTTATCCTTATATAGGTTAGGTCCATAAGCCTATCTTTATACTTCTATAGATTAGGTCTATGAGCCTATCCTTATCCTTATATATGTTAAGTCCATAAGCCTATCTTTATACTTCTATAGGTTAGGTCTATGAGCCTATCCTTATCCTTCTATACATTAGGCCCTTGAGCCTATCCTTATCTTTCTATAGGTTAGGTCCATGTTGATAACTGTGTTTTCCTTGTATTCTGAGACTTGGGATACTACATGCTCTTTTATACTCTGTCTTTTGCATTAAGTAAATCAAGTTTACAACAAACAGTCAGTTTTGGTTGCCAGAGTTTATCTAAATATAATAAATATTTATTATATTTACATCCTTGAATTTTTTATCTTTACAAAATACCATATAAAATTCTATATATATAATATACTAATACAAATTTATCTCTTGTTATCCATCATTATAAAGACTTATTCACAACAACTATAAACTAATATTTTTTTTAGAAACAAGACTTCCATAAGTGTTTTACTTTGAGTTCTGTTTTACATTCATAACTTTGTTTCAAATATAGATGTTGTATATCTATCCTATATTGGTGGAGACATCTATAGGAGAATACAGTGAACTAACAAAACAGGTGCTCCCATCATGTGGATCATACATACACTACAATACATAACAGATATAAATGATGAATGAATATGGGTTACTACATTTTTTAACATTATTGTCCTTCATAAAACATTCTAAGGGATTTACGAAGACAACTAACAAGTTCAGTTAAGTTCCTTATTCCTTGATGTGAGAACTGCCATCCAGGAAGGAAGACTGACCAAAGGCACTGTCCAGCTATATAATACCAGGTGGAAGTAACAACTGTTCATTTACACTAAACTTTGAACTTTGGTTTGACTTTCACACTTTTATACATCACAATAACATCCACATGTGGTCAAAGACCATATTTGACTGGACTAACACTCCCACAGTTAAAGTACACAACTACCCTAATCTGCACATTACTTCTTTTTTTCACTTATTGTTTTCCTTTCATGACCAATCTGGAGCCGTGAATGATGCTAGAAGGCCACCAACACCACCATAAATAACCCTGGTAAAGTAGGAGTGGTATTGTTTGACAGCATTACAGTACTGTGTGTAACCCTACTTGTAGCGCTGTCATAAAATCTTAGGACACTGACAATGTTTGTCAATTTGTGTTCAGAATAGAACTATACACAATTTGTAGGTAATCACCTTTAATTGACTGACTCTTTTAATATTAGAGATAATTCTTTGATTTAAGAGGTAATACTAATTAAGAACTATAGATAACTTGTAGGTAATCAATTTCAACTGACTGACTCCATATGACTCCATGGTCCAATCAGAAAGGACCTATAAAATGAAGACTGGGGATTTTGAAACAGCAGACAGTTATAATTAATGTGATTTTAATAAACCTTTTAATCTTTTGACCTGCTGAGTGGATAATTTTGTTTAATAAACCTTTTAATCATTTGACCTGCTAGGCAGATAATTTTGTTTACTAAACCTTTTAATCTTTTGACCTTCTGAACAGATAATTTTGTTTAATAAGTATTTGATCTTTTGACCTGCTGAACAGATAATTTTGTTTAATAAACCTTTTAATCATTTGACCTGCTAGGCAGATAATTTTGTTTAATAAACCTTTTAATCATTTGACCTGCTAGGCAGATAATTTTGTTTAATAAGTATTTGATCTTTTGACCTGCTAGGCAGATAATTTTGTTTAATAAATCTTTTAATCATTTGATCTGCTAGGCAGATAATTTTGTTTAATAAACCTTTTAATCTTTTGACCTGCTAGGCAGATAATTTTGTTTAATAAATATTTGATCTTTTGACCTGCTAGGCAGATAATTTTGTTTAATAAACCTTTTAATCTTTTGACCTTCTGAACAGATAATTTTGTTTAATAAATCTTTTAATCTTTTGACTTGCTGATTAGATAATTTTGTACATGATGAGTACAAGTTTATCATTTTTTGCTGAAAGTGTAATTTGTTATGTTTAAAACTGTTTGTTATAAGGAAGCAAACATTCATTTGTTCACTACAAGTATAACTCTTTAATTTAGTTTTGTGATTAATAAGCTCAATAATGTTTATTAGTCATATATTTTGAAAAAATACAGCTAATGTTCTTAATCTGCATTTTTTTAAATTATACAATTTGAACCATAAATGAGGTATACGTTTTTCACCAACAGGATCACGAAAATAATTTTGCATCAGTTTATATATGAAATACAGAAAATGTATTTTCATTATAGCATATCTTCAGAATTTGATTGCAAGTATTTGTATGGTTTATAAATGAGCACCAATGATCTATCTAAGTATATGTATTATAATACAATTCATACTTACTATTTGAAGAATACCAGTAAAATGTCATACTTCTTTTTGTCTTTGTTAGGTATTATTTCTGCCAACGGAGATATCATTAAGTTTGCAGGTAAAAGTTATTTTAGTAATCTCTGTTTCAAAGGTAAGAATAAATATAACCATTCAACACTTTTTATAATTTTACAGTGTTGTTTCCCCTTATAACCAATATTATCCTGAGTTTCTTTAATATGAGTGTTACTTATTTTCACATTCAGGTAGGATACTTTCCTACAGAACCATCTGAACTATTTAAAGGAAGTATTCATTGCATTCATTATACTTGAGTTTATTAGTACATTAATTCTAATAATATTAACCTTACATATACTCTTCAATGATTTATTGAGCAGTACGATAAGAATCAAATTTCAATCAATATGCATAAAATTTTCATTTAGAAAACTCTTACACAAGTAGAATGAATTGTTCAAGTTGTTGAACTTTTCCTGTGAGAGACATTTCAATGTAAAATAAGTAGTGTTAGTCTTAATAGGAGCAAATATAAGTTATGAAATATGTTTGATGCTCTGTTCCCTTGTCTGTGCTGTTACACTTATAAAATATGAAAAACTATAATTCAGGCTAAACTAGGAATGTATAACAAAACCTGATACGAAATGAAGAAAGAAAGTAAGTATAACTTGTATGGATAAAAAAATAACATACTGGAGATTTAAGTCTATTCTACCATCGTGTATATCAAGTAAAGAAGGAAAGTAAGTATATCTTGTCTGGATAATAAAATAACATACTGGAGATTTAAGTCTATTCTACCATCGTGTATACCAAGTAAAGAAGGAAAGTAAGTATATCTTGTCTGGATAATAAAACAACGTACTGGAGATTTAAGTCTATTCTACCATCGTGTATACCAAGTAAAGAAGGAAAGTAAGTATACCTTGTCCGGATAATAAAATAACATACTGGAGATTTAAGTCTATTCT